CAGCCAATTATTAATTTATGAATATTTTATTAATTGATGTATTTATTCCCCTTAAAAACAACAATGGCATCATGTAAACAAAATGGACTTTAAAGGGTTAAAATCCTTAAACTGATGAACATTTGGTTAGTAGAATCAGGACTCATGTTGGTTAAAAATGAAAGTGGAAGGAAATATTGATATTTTTTGGCAGTTCTCACCTACATTTTTGTCTTTATGGTCCGTCATGTAACTTTATTGGTACTGATGTTTCAGCTTTCTAAAACAACTCAATTCAGAAATAGAAGTCATAGAATCCTATGTAAGGTGAAGGTAGAAGTCTAAGACTGACCTAATCATATCATTTGTACACACTGATAGAGATTCAAAAATGTCACAGGAAAATGATGTAAATAAAATACTTTAGCCCTCACTCAACTGGGTGGGCTATGAACTCACATGATTAGGAAAAAGAATGCAGCGTGAAACTTTAGTTGAATAGATTTTGTCACAGCTGACATTTCTGCCTATTATACATGAGTTTGGAAACTCGGCTGGAAAGAATCGTCTTTAATGTTATTTGTTTCACCCCCAAGGAGGAGTCAAAGTGTCTGCTGGCAGCAAAACAACATATACAGTAAAACAGGACAGGTTCAAGAGAAGAAAAGCAACACTGGTGATGACTTTTAGCCGAGAAAAGGTTAAGAAATCCTGCTTCAACAGCAGGACAAAAGACAAAGAGAAGACTTAACAACGCACTCATAACACTGCAGTTCCTGCCTCGACCCCTGCTGCTGTGGTCCGGCCCACGCTGTCCGTCTATCCGCTACTGTTTCCCTCCATTATCATCCACACAGACCAGGACCACCATCTTTTACACAGTTTTACCCATCATAGCAGGTGACAACATTTAGATATCATAAAAAGTGGTCTAAGAAAAGGCCTGGAGCCTTGAAAGAGGAAAACACCTGTATGAGATGCATTTTTGCTTTTCTTTCTATGACGTGTTAAAGGAGAACTGTGAATTAGCTCAAATTAAAACGTCTGTTTCCAAAAAGGAGAGAACATTTCACTGGAATGAAACCACAACTGTCTTCCTCCTGCAGAATGTCCTGCTTTCACCAGCAGATGTCAGACTTCACACAGATTTAGGTACGATGCTTTTCCACACTGCTTTGACTGAGCAACTTTTAGAAGATTTTGTTTTTTTGTTTTTTTTTTAATTTTTGCACAAACTTTACATTATTCCTGGAAGTGTGTGCATATTGTCTACTTTTAGTTTGTTTTGTCTGATACACTTGAAAGTAATATTCTCATTCCTTTATGTTGGTTATGAGTTTCCTAATGTTTCTTTAAAAATTTGCTTGCAAATATTATATGAAATATATATATATATACCTCATATTCCTCAATTAAATGTCACCAATGTTGCTGTTAATCTATTCTCACAGGAGAAGAATAACAGCAAAATATCTCATTTACCTATTAATAAAATAATAATAAAACGTGCAACAACATTGAATACTTACCATAATAGTGTATAACAATTTAGAGTATTTGCATTTTCACTAAAATTAGATCAAACTCAACCTTTGTTTACTATTTGAGGTCAAATCTGATCTGTTTTGACATTTGACAGCAGCTGCAAAAAAAAAAAAAAAAAATGTAAACATCACTCTTTTAGCCTGAAATTTGATGACTTTTCTTAAAAGTGATCCAAAATACACAAAAATGAAGATGTTTTGAAATTGTGTACTTTTGTAGAGGTGCTACAAATTTTTCTACACTGTGGCTGTTTTGGGTCAAATTTCACCCGAATCCATTGAGATGGATTTTAGATCTGATTTTAGATCTGCCAGTGTGGGTCAAAATCAAGGGAAATGGTGGTTTTAGGGAAATCTTGAAACTGTGAAACTGTACAGGCCATGTTTTATGTGTATTTATTGATCATTTAGAATGTCTAAATAGATCTGTAGTTTAAAATTTGGTATAAACACTCACTATGAGGGCATTCTTGCCAGGAATTCTGCACAATGTGGTTCGGCTTAAAACTGACACAAATCGTACTGTAAAGGCATAAAATATGAATAATATGTAAGGGTTAAGATGAAGAAACTGTGATTTTCAGTTTTTATAGTAGTAACCTCCAGTGGAAGACATTGGCCAGCAGGTGGCAGACTCAAATCACACTGCGGCAAACTGCCTCTCACAGCCTGAAACATCATGAGAGGCAAAATATTAATTGCATGCATGGGTGTAGATTTGGTTTGAACATTGTGAAGGACACACTGAATGTCAAACACTTAAGTCCTGCATTCTGGTTAATTTTTATACACTAGTTTGAGTTTGCTATGCATGCATCTGTTCTGTTGCATCTTTAAGGACTATTCTAGTAGCTCCTTTAATGTTTTTATTGAGGAACAAATGTGTTTTATTTATAATATCCCATGTGTTCCCCACCTCTAAAATCTGCACCTATGATTCAAACAGGAGATGTGAATGGATACAACACTACTAGCAACAAACATATAGCAACAAGTAGTTTATATATAGGCCCAAAGCTGAATTAGTCATTAGCAGATAAAATCTATCCTCGAGCTGCGTGAACAGCAGCTGCCCAGGAAAGAAATGGGAAACCTGAAGAGGTTCTGGTTTCAATAATCTGACTCATAAAGTGACGCTGACAGCGCATTTAAATACAGACATCTAAGGCTGATTATAGATAATATAGTCATTACTTTGTGGCCTTCCACTAAGACAGAAGGACAGTTTCTCGCCGCCTCAAACATCCATCTGGACGGTAATAATAAACACCATCAGGTGATGAGGAAACAGCAGGAGAAGGATATCAGTCCTCTGCCAGAAATGTACCTCCGCACGCTGCGAACCCTACTCTGAATTTACGTCACTGTAGTGCGGTGAGGATCGCTGAAAGAGGGAAGAATGAGGAGGCAAGGTGTTGTTTGCGTGTGCGCCTGCCAGAGAATAATGATGTGCAGCGTACAAAGGTCGCATGTTCCTCCTCCACAGTGAGAGCAGGCAGCCGATGGCTCTATAGATAGATGGAGGGAGTGGGGGGCTGAGAGAGAAAACAAAACAAACAGACGCACATTTTCAAAAGCAGCTTAAAGTCTGGGATAGCATGGCATACTTGGCATGGAACTTTTATTCATGCAAAACAACTGAAGTCATCAGATCTTTATCAAGGAAAAAAAAATCCATTGTCTATTGTAACTGATGTTGTTGTAACAATAAAAAAAATTAACAAGCATGTCACGAAATGTACGAAACATCTGTCAAAACTCATTAAAAATGCATACAAACATCAAAGTGGGGGCAAAACTGAAGGACACAATGACACCACAGAGAACGTCACAGGTGTAGTCGAAGCGGCGCAGGATTAAACAACTCCTTCCTCTGGGTCGATGAGTGTGGTCCGGCTGGAGAACACGTCAGCCAGCATGTGTTTTGGGATCTCTGAGCCGCGGACTCGCAGGGTGTAGCAGGCGTCTTCTACTTTTCCCAGGCTCTGTCTCAGCGTGTGCAGCTTCTTGGACACCTCGTACGGGCCCGTGTTCCCGATGTAGGAGAAGCCGTCGTGGATCTGGCGCAGGAACTGGCTCAGCTGGAAGGGCGTGTCAATATCGCCGTTGCCCACGCTGCTGATGCACATCCGCATCAGCTCCCCCGTCAGGTCGGCCACGCCCAGCAGGTAGTCAGACGGCGTCACCTGGAAGGTCAGGACCTGGGTGCCCAGCGGCTGGCCTTCAGCTGAGCCCTGAGAGGAAAACAAGGAAGGATGTAAAAATCTCACATGAAAGTCAACAAAAAGCACAATTTATACGCACTCTTTGGGATCATTTCTCTTACAAAAATTCTTTCCCCTGCAGAATTTATACAAAAGACTATTAACGACAACAATATCTACAAGCTGTGCTGTGCCTCTGGTAAAAGCCCGGGGCCACAAATCAGCAAAGTGCTGTTGTTCTGGAGCAGAATGGTGCTTTTACTAGAAAGTACTGAGGTTGAAGCAATTTTGTCTGCATCAACACACACCCGTCAACGTTGAAAATAACAGGCAGAGTGGACAAAATGACATAATGACACATAATGTTCATAAATGCAGCAACACCCGGGTTTGCCTTTGTGCGACATTAGCACTGCTTTGAAGAGAAATACATAAAATTAACGTACTAAATTGCTTTAATGCTGAGAGTAAGATAAAAATAATGATACAACTTTCCTGCCTGGACTTTGAATATGAAGCCAATGAGTTCATGTATGCACAAAGCCAGGTTCTGTGCTATGACGAGCTAAATGCCTGCTGGCTGTTGTTTCATGGTATCGACTAACTCACAGTAGGAAAAGTGAACTAACATATTTCCCAAAATGTCAAAAAAATTCTTTAAATCTTCTTACATTTTCATTTCTTTATTTGTTTGTATCGTTTGAAAAATAAAATCTTACTTACATCTCTAACTGTTCGGTGTTATGTAAACAGCTTAACCATGAAGTCTTCTTTAAATTTACCTTCGCATCTGCTTTCTCTGTTCTCATGAACACCAGTCTGGCGTTGATTTCCTCCAGGCTGATGAGGCTGCGATGGCGGATGTAGTGCAGGAACGAGACGGCCTCCACGTATTCCTGAATCCCTGTTGCATGTAATTAAAATATTTAATAAATCACTTCAAGACACTGACAGTGCATACAGATATTTCAGAGCTGATGACATGATTGTGGATGGTGCACTTGTTTGTAATTTACAAAACAAAAATGACTATTGTTGCTGAAAAGCAGGTCAAGTATGTATCAAGTGAGCGCAGCACGTAGTGTGTGTAAACACAACATGGTATCTGCACCAGTATAGATCACAGATGAAGATAAAGATTCAAATAAAACCTGTTTCCTGTCTCTGTCTTTTGATAAAACAACAGTGGTGATTTTTTTTTTGTGGTGGGCTGAGATGACCCTTCATTTGTTTTGTGGCCCTGAGCAAACAACAATCAAATAATCACAGGACGGAAGACTTTGTGTCTGAAGTTTACTTTTGGAGCGGCAATTGAACTTCAAAGGGCCTCCTATCTCCCTGTAGCTGACCACAATACGCTACATGGAGCAAGCAGGGGGATGTGCTCCATCTCCACTTCAGTCCGAATAACTTTCACTTCTCTTATTGGGATTTTAGTCCAGTTGCACTGGCATTTAGATCAACCAGAGCCAGCGAATCAAGCATCTCCTCTGCACTCAAGAATATTAGAACTGAAAAGCCTCAGCTCTCTAAAGGTGCTTCAATCATGTCATTGCTACTTTACTCCTGCCTGTCACCCATCATCCACATCATTTAATCTTGACGTGACATTGCTGATGGTCAATTGCTAAAGACCACAAAAATCTCTTTTTTCATCCAGCTTTGAGAAATTGAATCTTACTTAGCTCCTTTTCTGCAAAAGTTATCCCAGCTTTGGATATCTCACATGAAAGCTTTCCTTCACTGAGACTAATCACACTGTCGCTAAATTGGATTTCCAGAACTTTAATTTAGATTTCTGTCATTTTTGTCATTATATATTTACAGACCCGCTCCACTAAAAATCAAGTTTACCGCATTAACATGTCCATATGGTGTGTTTTTTATATGCTAAACGACAAATGATGGGCGAAATAAGCAGCTAGCATCATGATTGAGGATTTCTTCCTCGAAGCTGCGGTGAAGCGATGGCAGTCTCAAAAACACAGATTGTGACTTCTGGGGTTTTATACATAACAAAGGCAAGTAACCAACCCGGTCAGCTTGCAGGATGGGACTTTCTGTGTCAATAGTCTTCTTCGGAACTGGTTCTGAGATTTATGACTGAATTACTCTGATGTCGCAACTTGTTGTTGTGTAGCGTTCGTTCATGTTACAGTGTCTGAGGACACAACAGTCTGGAGCTACATATACAGTCATCCTCAAATATATTCATATTCTTCCATTAAAGAAAAGGCAAAATTCATCATAGTCACTCAAATAACTAGAAACTGAAAAAAGGTAATAAACAAAAAAATTGCTAAACTAGAATTTAGTGAAATAAGACATTGCTTTTAAATTGTGGTGGAAAAGAATCATTTAAAAAAACCTGTCCCTGACAAATTAGAGCACTTTGCTGATGAGCAGTGGGCCAAAATCAAAATACCTGACAACAGGTGCAGAAGTCTGACTGAGAGTTACAGAAAACACTTGATTGCAGTGATTGGCTCAAAGGGTTGTTCAACAAAACATCAGTTTACAGGTCCCATCATGCTTGTTTTTTGTTGTGTTTTAATATTTCTGTTGAACCACCATTCAAAAGCAATGTCATGATTTTCATTCAATTTTTATTTATTATTACTTTTGTCAGTTTCAACTTATTTCAGTGACAGCTGATTTTTTCTTTCTTTAATGAGAGGGTATGAATACATTTGAAGACGACTATAAGTCATTTTAAGGCAGCAAGGGATGATTTTCAATGAAAAACCTTTTAAATATGTAACTTTGGCCCTATTCACAAGATTCTTGCATTACCTGCGGAACACTAGTAATTTTTCACAATAGTTTGGGAATTTGCCTGTAATTTTTCACCTTGTGTGGATCATTTGTACAGATATTAGTCTACAAGTGTAAATGTTTTTACAAGGCGTTTTGTTTTGTCTTTGCACCTTCTTTTGCATGTTTCCTGCTCCAGAATGATGGAGTCTAAATGAATAACCGAAAGTTTGAACAGGACCTTTGGGGAGAAACTTCGGCACCTCACACAGCATGGAGACTCAGTCACAGAAAGCTTAAACCCATCACAAGAGTGACATTTTGATTCACTGTCTTTATCAGGTTCCAAAGACTTAATATCATATTTACTGGATGTCAGTAAGTTTGAGAAAAACATAGACTTCTCTTATGCCTTGCGAATGCATCGTATTAACCACAGACACAACTTCTAAATCATGAGGTCCAAACGGGGCTTTTGATGCACAGAGATGAGTCTTTGAGAGTTCAATCAACGACTGGAGAGGGCCTTCAACAGTTTACAGACAAACTTGCTGTCAGAGCTATTAAACTAACTGATTCCTATACGGAACACATCCTATTGTTATGCAATTGTTATTAGCAGCCACATATTTCCAGCGCCAGCCCAGAGCCTTTATGTGTTTACTTTATCAGAACCTTTATCAACATAAAAACTTGCTGCAAACATCTAAACACTGCCGGCGGCTCCACAGCTGTGTCACTGGTTTACAGTGAATACGACACAATCTGAGGCGGACAGGATACGCCGTGGAAAGGTTACAGAGGCTTTGAGGCAGGCAGGCGGAGTTCAGTTCCTGAGTTTTGTGCCAGGAGCCGTTCATGTTATTTACTCTGAAGCAGCAGTTACCTTTGGTCAGTGAGCCCTAGAAAAAAAAAATACTGGACATGATGTCTAAACAATGACTAAGGGGAAACCAACTGGAAATTGCAGACATTTTACTGGCACAGCAGTTGGAAAAGTTAAGGGCCGAGAGCCTGACAGGATTAGATCTGCAAAAACAGTCCTGAATACTGCTCGAATACTGTATTTTAGAGGTTGGAAAAACAACCATATGGTACATATTCAGGTATTGAGAATTTAAAGGTTAATATTTGACCACAGAGCGGTTCACTGACTTGCAGGCGAACCATGGGAACAGTGCTAGTAGTAAATCTATGTTTACACTGCCTCATAGCTGCGAGCTGGGTCAAGCTAAAAAGCTTATCAAAGTGCCGCACTGCCCTGTTATCAGCAGCAATTACGTTCAGATGTAGTCCACAATATCTTTGATGGTCCTTATATAGAAAACAGACCCATTACACATGCCTGGAGACTTCTAGTCCAGCCAAGATTATCTGGAGAGCCCGTGCAGCGGGTCCAGTCTCAATCTAATAAAGACGATAAAAATGGGGAAAAAATGAAACGTCTAATTGGTGGGAACTGCCACTAGTCACGTTGCGGAGGATGCAGCAGTGATTCCTGAGTGACCACAATCTAAAAATGACTTCCCCAGCTGCTAGATAACAGCTCACCCAGCAATGTTTTTCTCCAAACTCTGCAGACATTATGGCTACACTAACAAAAAGATATTGATGCTAGTCTGAAAACAACTTTATCAAAGGGTGTGTCTATCATATCCAGGACTGCATCAAGGTCATGCTCTCACACTATCAGACACTTTATAATGCATTTATGGAGGACAGAAAAGTGACTAACGCATAGTTGAAGTAATTAATTATTAAACAGAGAATTAAACCATTAAATGAAAACAAATTAATCTATTTTGGACAAGAGACAGGACAGGATTATTTACTTATTTATGTATTTTGACATTCATTTATTTTTGTTTCGGTAATTTATTTATTATTCATTTTATTTATTTATGGTATTTATCTATTTGCTATTTATTTGTTACTTAAATGTTTCCATATATGATATCTTTCTACATTTCATTATGTACTTATTTCTGTATTTTTAGATTTTTACCTTTTCATATTTCTTGTTTTTTTAATTCATACATTTCCATGTGTGAGACAAGCACCTCCTACCTTATAAACAAAACAAATACAAAATACAAAAAGAAATACACAAATAAATGGAGTAATAAATGTTGAAATAAACGTACAATAGCCTTAACAGGTGATGTATAGAAATGTAGAAATAAATGCAAGAGATCATGTAATCAGATCCCTTTCCAATACCAAAATGTGTATATTTTATATTTATCTATTTAGTCATTTCTTTACTTATTTTATTAAACACGTCATTTTTTGCTCTTATCCTTTTATGTGATGTTTACTTTAAGCTTTAATTAGTTTTCGTGTTTTATTCTGTTTTTATGCGATATCTACCTGTTTATTTTATGTTCTCTAATGTTTTCATTTTAATTTTTAGCTACCTAGTCTAGTGATATTGTTTTTATTTCTTAAGTCTTCCTTGATTGTCTCTGCATTGCATGTTTTCATGTGCTCTTATGTCAAAGCACCTTGTGAATGCTGTTTTCAAAAGATGCTATATCAATATAGTTATTATCATTAGAATTAATATTACCTAAAGGACAAACAGAAACCCTAAGGTGCAGCACAGAGTCTTTCTCATGAACGCTCCTGTGTTATTAAGCTCTTAACTCATGCCCTTTGCTGGAGCTTGTTTCTCTATTCAGGGGGCAAGATTGTGAGCAAGTTTTTTGAGTTTCAGATTTGACCCAGACAAGTATATTCTGGTGCAGAGATGGACTTTGTTAAGGGTCTGAAGAGTCCAAAGGAACTACCCACGCCTGAATAGATCTATCAGCTCAGCAAGGTGGCCTCACAGGAGGAAATGTGATTCAGAATAAGAGATAGGGCTAATAAGTATGCAATAAAATTGGGACGGCATCTAAAGTATATTATTGGAGGACAATTAGAAATAGAATACATTAAAGTTAAATACTGCAAAGAGAGACAAATTTGTCCAGTGGGTAGGGAAATGTTCACATATACATATGCTTTCTACGTTATGTTTTCTGTCTATGGTTTGTTTTTTGCTGTGTTTATACAGTACAATCCATAAAATTATAGCTCTCAAACATGATATGTAAAGACGTTATCTGATAAACCCCATTTACTTTAAAAATGTGACAAACACTAAATGCTGATTTTGAATGGGAAGTTTTTGACCACACTAAGGACTGTATAAATCTGTTTGGAGACACATTTAAAGTGAGCCCATAACCTACCTGATTTTAAAAAATAAATAAATACATTTACTTTCACCGTATGTTGTAAATATCTTTCAGGAATCAGAATAAGTTTTTGCTTTAGGTATGAATAAAAACAGACCAGTAATATCAAACATCAAAGGTGACAGCTGAAATAAGAAAGTAAGTCCAGCAAGTCTAATCTTTACTTTTCATCCTTCCCATTGATCTTCAGAGTTGAGCAATCTGCCATCATCATCATCAATATATATAATTGTCCAACAAGTTCCTCCATAGAAATAGCACATACAAGGGATTCTATAGTGTTTCTTTAAGTTCGCAGCATTTGTATTGTTTAGTGGTATATAAAGTACTTTGTGCAGATGACATTCAAGCGTTATCCGTTTTTGCATGCACTCTTATTCAAGATAAGCTACAGATAATAAAACAACTACAAGTTGGTCTTTTAGGAGGCGTATGATAACTCACCTGGAGTGAAGGCTCTGTGAAACTGAAAAATGTCCTCTCCTCTCAGCTCTTCAGCAATTTGACCGATCTTTTGTCTGACTCCATCCAGTTTTACCTCTGCATCGTTCAAAACATCCTCTGGATCTGGTACACTTCATAACCAAAGAAAACATGTAAAAATGAAAGGTATAGCTACTCACTTCCTCTGACAGGAAACTAGAGTGTGAACACAACAATTGATGATATCTCCAGGTGACATGTTTGGAGTTATGTTGCCTTACACTGAGTTATCTTTTCTCCATAGGCATTCATCATTCAAATTATCCTAAACATCCTAGTCCGCATCTTTATGCCACTTCCAAAACAATATCTGAAGGCTGACAGAGACTGAGAAATGTGCACAATGCACTGCATCAATAAGGATTATTTTTCCGCTGTGCTTATTATAGGAATAATATAAACACTTCAAGAAAATAGACACCACTGAACACAGCCAAATTCAGAAGCAGCCCTCCATCAAATCTTAATAAAGTGAAGAGACCTATTGTACTTTCCAATTACAACAGCAATCAATGAGGTATCTTTCAAAGAACAGTACGTACTTGGTCATTCTATGCAAAAGAAAAATGGTCCTCTTGCTTTCAATTGTGACGTCTCGACTGATCTTAACAAGACGCTCATATTTGTCGTGTTTGGTGTCAAGCTCCTGCTGGAAAACTTATACAACAAAAAGAAATAAAGAATTGCTTAAAAACAGATGTTTTAACATTAAAAAAGCATCAAGTATTGAGGGAAAAGGTGCAGTTCGACTGATGAGGATGCAGTTACCTCTGAAGGCAGCAATGACAGATGAGGAAGAGTTGGTGCTCATATCCTGTTCCTGCGCTGAATCAACATTTTTGCGGGAAGATCCTTCACCTGACAACGCAGAGAAAGTCAGTTGGTGCTGGTGTCAGGTGTGCGTGTTAAATGATAAATGGCTGTGGCTGCATTTTCTGTAAACAGACCTTGTCAAACTAAAGGCACACTGCATACATTTTGCACACAAATATCAATTTTCTTGCTTGTTTATCCGAATACCATCCCAGTTGTGCAAACTGTGGCCATGCAACTTGGAGCTTATGGCAAAAGACACCATAGAGTTGCATTACGTGAATTGTAGGATGTAACTTTTTATTTATTTATTTAGTATTTTTTTATGTAGCCTATTCTGGAACAGACATCAGTATGTTCAGCCTCTGCCGTGTTATTTCGACTATTTCTAAGATAAATGTCTCCGAAGGCCATGAACTCAATAGGAGTGTAATACTAAATTGCTGAAGAATTTTCTTAAATTGTGAACTAAAGATTAAACAATTAGTCGCTTGGGGGAAAAAAGAAAAGATTAAAAAAAAAACACTGCAACAACTGTGATTATATATTTGGCCCAAATCATTTTTGAAGCAGTGCAATTAGAAAATAACAAAGGCTGCAACTTAGGATATTCGAGGTATAACTATTAAATAATAAGACTAGTACAGTTGAATGAAATGTTTAACGAATGTTGGGCTTGCCTGCTGATCAGTGTGTACTGTGCGGTTCAGGCATAAAAACTGTGGTTCACATGACATAAGTCAAGTTTTATTGTTTAATAACTACAAACTATGTACATTTTTCAGGGTGCTGACATTTTGCCAGTCATGCTGTTGCTGGAATGTCGTGTAATAATGCCTCATCACACGGTTTAAATTGATTACAGTGTCAAATTATATTTAAAATTATACCACAAAGCAAATCACAATAAGTGAAAAAATTGCAATTTCATATTTGCTTTAATTTCGTTCTGCCTTACGATTGACAATTTAGCCTACGGGCATGATCCATTTATCATCAAGAAAATACCCAAACTTCACTGATTCCAGCTTTCTGAGTCCTTTATGATAAGAAATCCTACTACACTGGATTCTGGACTGACAGTCAGACAAGTCAAACAGATTTAGGCTGTAAAAAAGTTAAATGGCATAGTGCCACCACTTAATACCAATGTTACTTTAATAGATTATTTAATACATTTTCGTTACATAATGTGATGTTGGCTGCTCTAATAGAAGCAGGACAGGCTCTGAGTTTGAACAGTAAGACATGTTACAGCTATGCAATAACAGCCATGATACTGCTGTTATTTTTAAGGTTTTGTTAGCTACTAGTCAAATAGCTAGCTAACTTATCTCACGCTGGGAACAACAACTAACAACACAACTCGCTTGAAAAAAGGTTGCTATTCTTAGTCGAGTCTAACATGCTGGACTTACCGTCTCGCTTATTCATGCCTTCAATATTGTGACTGAATACTTTATTAAATATAACTCTTTTGAGCTCAGCTGAAATTTAACAGTTTTAGCCACAGTCGTCCGTGCAGGCAAACAAAATCTAACGAGGCAGAATACTTCACGTGTGTCGGGGATTATAAAGATCCTTAAACAAACAGGTTAGCTTACATAGAAAAGTAACCGTGTCTGAGCAAAAATACACCGACTGAGGGAAGTCAACTTGTCCTTTAACGAGAAAGAAATTGTATTTATTAGTTTTTATTATCAGGCATTAACGTGGACCTCATTCTTCGCGGGGCCTTTGCGCTGCTCGAATGCGTAGCAGGAAGTGAGGAGAAGTGCATCACGGGAGATGTAGGAGGTTCGCTTTTCCAAACAAAGTAAAAGCGTGTTGGTTTTATTTTAAACCTATTGCAGCTGTTAAAATAAATGTAATTAGAGGTCACAAACACAAATATATTTATTTTTGTTTTTTGTAGGTAGATGTGAAGCTCTTCCATTTATATAACAAATTATATTGTTGCACTTATTGTTGATTTTTTATTTATTTATTTATTTTTTTTTTAATGAAACATTTAGCGTCTTGCATGGTTGATGATTGCAGATGCTGTGTCTGCTAGTTATGGGCTCATTCCTGCACCAAAGTAATTCAGTGCGACACAGAGAAACCTTTAACCAAAAAACATTTTCTCTTTGCAGTCAAAGAACTGATTCAGCTACATGTCATCTCCAGGATGCCATCCTAGATTGGCCTGTCATTTGGTGCTATTACAGTATGTATCATCCAACCTTTCTTGATCAGATTACTCTTCTCTCCATAACCCCTCCTCCAGGGACTCCTGTAGACTGTGTACGTGCCACACGACTGGTGCCAACTTGAGCTTGTGCCTTGCCTCTGCACAGCGGACCCTGTCACTCAGAAACCCGTTTCAGTCATTACTGTGAGGAGTGATAAACCCCAGCAACATATATAATGACACATTTATCAAAATATGTCCATGCTTCATAGAAGTGTAATTAAAAAAAATGCACTCCATTAGTCGATTTAAGCCCCTCTCACCCTCAGTCATGAGCTTCATTAACTGCACACTAACTAGACATAAGTCTATCATAACAGCAGCAAGGTCTTTATGCAAATTATTCTTTTGTTGTGTGAAAGGAATTTCACATATGCAAACCCGGAATGAGGGCACAACACACTGACGTTGACTGAAGATGCCTTCAGGGGCTTCCTTGAAGCTCCTACAATCCAACATTCGTCCCGCTGGGTTTTACGAATGCCTCTGCTGTACAGTAATCATAACATAACTTCACAAGTAATGCGTCTCACAATGTGTTACATTGGTTTTTTAAATCAGGCTCAGTCACTGGTGATCGAAGCCAAAAGTTTAACATTGCTTGACATTCTGCTCACTGTGTCCTACACATAAGTGCAGGTTTTGTTTTCACATTGGGTGTGACACATTAGGCAGGGTTTTGGGAATCCTCCAGCTGAAAATTCTGAGCAACAAACACTTAATTTCCTGCAGTCTTATGCATTTCTCTAAAGCAATTTATGGTGGAAACGATTTCTTTATTTATGTAAAGTAAAACACATATCAGGCCCAGGTGAAAATTTAAGATATAATGGGATATAATGCAGCAAGGAAGTAGTCTGGGGGTCCTCCAGCAGAAAATGCAGCAGTTTGTGCTTTTCTGAATCAATTTATGGTATAAATATCCTAATTTATTTAACTAAAAAACTAAATTCAGGTAACAGGTGATAGTTTAATATATAACATAATATATTCTCAGGCCTTCTCTCTTTCTTTCAAATATTTATTTTTCTGTAGGTTAACTTTTCTCATTTAATTATTATCTCTGCTGTGCCAACACACATATGCAGAAGGTGTAATTTACTCTTTTGTCCTCTTGTCTGTCTTTTGGTTAGGGGAGTAATGTGTATTTGGCACCTTTTCACATCAATCAGAAACTAATTTTGAATCATTTATTTTTATTTTAAATTAATTTGTAATCATAAATATTGAGGGGAAGGTCTGCAGCTATGCTCCTGCACGTATCAATGCACTTTGGATCAAATGTAAATAAAAGCACTATCCTTACGAACTTATCATAGATAAGCCTTGAGCTTTATAACCTGGATAAAGTGACAAAGACGAAGTATGGGTAGCTTTATTAAATCTGTCCTTTAATTTTCACTAGCCTGTATGGTGGATTAAGTATTCAGATCCTTTATATTTAAGTATAAAATCTGAATCAGAATTAGAAATACCTTGTTAACTGAAGGGAGATTGCTTAAGTTGCTCCTATTCAAGTCAGAAATATAAACAGTACAAAATATGAACTAAAATATAAATGGAAAAATATGACCTCAAAATATAAACTGGAGTAGAACAATATGTCCTAAAATATAAACATAAGTAGACAGTAAAAGCATAACTGTAAAATGTGCTTTTCTTAAACTGACATAAATATATACACAGATCCCTCTGGATTTATTTCCAATATTTTTAAAAAAAATCTTTAATCTACCTTTTTCCCCATTTGATATTATCCTTGGTGAATCAACACACATGTACACTAAGTGTGGTCTACTTTGGATTGCACATATTTTATACTAATAAATGACCATTTTTAACAGCAGAGTAAAACCGAAAAGTTCTTGAGTAAGTAAATGTCTTAAAATGGTACTAATGATGCTGTACACTACCCGAGTCTATAGGTGATATATGATACATGATTATATCGACTTATCAATGAGGCTGAAGCAGTCACGGTCACAGTGGGACTTCATCTCACATGGGCACCTTAGCGCATGCTCCCTGTTGCCCTGACGTGACGCTGTTCGGCCACCTCCACGTGTCTCCGGTCGCCTCCACAAATGTCCGACAAACCCTGAAGGCAGCGCGACGGGGGGCGGAGCCTGCGTGCTGTCGTCAGAACCTCAGACAGGCTGAGCACACACGGAGCGGCGCCATGCACTACCCTGGGACCGACGGCTAGCCTGCAGAAATGCCTCCCGAAGACCTCGACCCACCCCGGAATGCTCGGCCCTGGGCGCACGTTGTGGCGTTATTTCATTGGTAAAAGCCCTCGGAGAGGGAATGAGTGCGACACAATGGCGAGGTTTTGAGTCTTACTTGGCCGCTTGGCTCGGTGAACCGCGACAGAGGCAGCGGATCGTTTCCAAAGTTGTCGGTTAGCAGGGCGCGTGTGAAGGATCGGACTTAAAGGAGCAGTACGCCCGCAGACATGGACAAGCAGCAGCAGAGCGAGCTGGAGCGAGAGCGACAGTACTGTGAACTTTGTGGGAAAATGGAGAACCTCCTCAAGTGTGGCCGGTGCCGGAGCTCCTTCTACTGCAGCAAGGAGCACCAGAAACAGCACTGGAAGAAGCACAAGCTCATTTGTAAGGAGGCGGACAAGGCGCAGCTCCCCAAACAGAAGCCCGGGAAGGCTCCGCCGGCGGGGGACGACGAGGCTCCAGAGAAATCCCAAGAAAAGAAAAGCCCCGAGCAGGCGGACAGCGCGTCCTTACCGCAGACCACAGAAACACCTGAGGTCGGAGATAGACCTGGAGAAGACGGACCCAACAATACCGCCACACCTAACGGACAAACTAGCTCATCTCCTCAGAAACTTGCCATGGAGTACATCGTGCCGTGCATGAACAAGCACGGCATCTGTGTGGTGGACAACTTTGTAGGGGCAGAGACTGGACTGGGCATTTTAGAGAATGTCAAAGCTCTGCACAAAACGGGCAAGTTCACGGACGGGCAGCTGGTTAGTCAAAAAAGCGATTCCACTAAAGACATCCGAGGGGACAAAATCACGTGGATTGAGGGGAGGGAGGCCGGCTGCGAGAAGATCCTCTTTCTAATGAGTCGCATGGACGACCTGATCAGACATTGTAATGGCAAACTGGGAAACTACTCAATAAATGGAAGGACAAAAGTAAGTATCACGACCAGGATCCAGAGCCCTGCTGGTCTCAGGACCTGCACCTGCTCCAGGTGGGTCAGGGCACCAGCAGGACTCTGGTGCTGTGGGACACAAAATGAAAGTTTTGCAGGTGTCAGAGAGTGTTGCACCTTTCAGCAGAAATTAAAACAAATACGCTGTGTCATCAAGGCACCATTACTTTTAAAAGATCAGCCCTCTTTGCTAATTAGACGTGACTTTAAGTGTAAGAGGCTAGTAAGTCCTCTCCAGCTCCAAGTTAAAGCATGGCTAATGCTCTGAGTCAGAAAGGTGGATTATTTCCTCACCACAGAGCCTTATGTGTGCTCATATGAGTGTTACTCAAAGGGTCATGTTGTTAATGTTAATGAATAATGAATTTCAACAGAAAAACACACGCCCAGTGACTCCTGAGTGAACAATCTGGATGAAGCCAGTTAGAAGGAAACAAACCTCAAACTTTACCGTACATCAAACATGCACCTGAACAAATCAGAACTAAGACAGGAAGGTATCGTCTAATGGCTTTACTATTAAGCAGCTGCAAGCATGTGGTACGCTCAAGTGAGTAATATATAAATAATATATAACTGATAGTTTAAGGAACTATCTAAACTGATATCTGCAATCTTAGCCCTCCAGTCTCCACAGATGTAAACAGAATATTCCTAAATGCATGTTCTCAATTCATCACCCTTCAAAATCAGATTTCATTCTCAGGGCAGGTGCTCAGTGTTCAGTTTATTTTGTAAAACTTACACCAAAAAGTAATGCAGCCCTGCAATAAATCCTACCTTCGTTAAGGGTATAACGTTCAGATTTTTGTGAAACTGTTTTATAAAGAGGTGTTGATATCGACTCGTTTTAGAAGCTGTGTTTTGTCGGTGTTTCTGACACTCCTCGTTGTGAGTACAATTCAACACACTCCAAAATGAGCATCATGCTGAATAAACACCTCATTAAAATCCCCTCAGTTGCTCGTGAACAATATAAAATGAACAAAGGTGAGATTTATTGCAGGACTGCATTTGTGTCAGCAACTTGTAACTTACAAACCGACTACACACTGGCAGCAAGCAGACACAGCAAGACTGTGAAACACACTGCACATGTTCTCCTTGTCACGCTGTTCCAATAGACACGTGCCGCTGCTAAATGCACAAACAGGGAAAAAATGAAGACAGCCTGCTGACATGCATGAAAAGATGCATATTGTGTTTATCTGTTGTTTTTATTGAACCTAAATAACAGGATTTATGCGAAGGCGCTGCAACCGTCTGACAAACAGCAGCCTGGAGCCTGATTTGTGCTGTGAATGGTCTACAGGGACGCTCTACTGTAGCGGACTGTGGCCTCTGACCTCGCTGTAGAGAGGTGGCAGGCTGCAGTGATAAATCCAGTATCTCACACAGACAGGCAGTTGGTTAGACAGAGCGTTCCTATGTCAAAAAGAGGACCTGCGTGTTTCAGAGCTGGCAGTGCGGTGGAGAGGAAATTGCGGGCAGCATCTGTTTCACTAAGATGTTCTTTCTCAGAAGTGATGGGTATCCTCAGTTTCATGCTGAGACAGTGAGCGCCTGTACCTTTAATAGCTTTCCCTGCACCTTGTTCGTCATTTGTAATCATTACCATGATGAGCAGAGTTTCAGAAAAGCAGGCAATATGAGCCCACAGCAACCTGGCTCCATGTTGGCTGTTGGGTTGCGTGTAACCTACGACTCTTCTTTCAGTCAGATCTGGTCACCGTAACCTTGTAGCATTGGACTGACCCAGGAGGAGATGAGCTGCCACTTTTCCATCGTCTACCTGAAACAATGTCAAACTTAGTTATATCTGTTTTTTCATGTCATTTCTACTGAGTCAAATCCACTCATCTTCAGTTTGATATTATCTCAAGCAAACCACAAAATTAACTTATCTGAAAATCTACAAACATGGAGTTACCTGTTTTTGCGAATGAACTCTTCAACTGTTTTTTGACCTTGAGATGTGATGGAGGCTGAAAGTTTGAATGTAAAGAGAGACTGATGTAAAAGTCAAACAGATAAAAGGACTTAAATGACCACATTCATAGTCCTTCTGCTAGTTAAGCTAGCCACACAGAGGATAGTCACTGTTTGTACCGCTTTCTTGTCGTGCTCTGTTCTAGCAGTGCTTGACATTTAAGGGATCTGGTGGTGAAAGAGCCCACACCGTGGCCTTTGCTTGCTTCAGGTACTTGGTTTTCCGTGCTGGCACAGAGCTCTGATTGCCGTATGCTGTTATTTTTAGGCTGCTCCTGCTGTCCAGTTGTTTGTTTTTTGTTTTTTTCCCTGACTGGTTCTTGGTGGACACGTTTTTCAGAAAGCACATTATTTCAGATTGTGCAGCTGACCACCATTGTCAAGAACTTGACTTCCTCGCCTACTGCCCTAGTTGCCCTGGCAAACACACGGCTGGACTGTGACCAGCAACAAAAATCAGCATGACTTGCACAAATGGAAGGCCGCAAGTATCAATGGCTCAAAGGGATACAACACAATGTAAGCACAATTCGCATTAGGAAAGACCAAGGGAAAAGATTTTGCCCAAATAGTTATTAAATGCCATTGTTTCCATTTCCCCTTTTCACTTGATAACATTGTGGAGACTCGCAGGCAGTGGGACGTGTTTGTTTCTCTGCAGATCCAGCATGTTGAATATTCTCTGATGCCATTACAGCATTAGCAGGAAACGTAAAGAAGCTTGTACCACGATTGTTTTGTCACTGAATCGCTGCTCCGCATTGAACATTAGCATGTCCTGAATGTTAAAGCAGCAGCTCAGCAAGCCAAGGCTGCATTATACAGATTGTTACTCCTCAATTACACAGCTATTATTAATACACTTATGTTGTTCATGTGAAACATGATAACTCTGCTTGGCATGGCATGTTGTTGCTCGGTTAAGAATTAAACACTGGATTTAGATATCCCATTATATGGCCCCAGGGACTGGATACTTAACAATATAATGCAGTCCAATACAATAGTGGGATGTGTCTCTTGCTTTGTGCAACTGATAGATGGGCTGCTTACAGTATGCAGTCTGCTGACAGAAACCTGCTGTTGTTTAGATGCCAGCAGCATGTTGGTCTGAAACTCAACTGTTCGGTGGGAAAAAAAAATCATCATTTATTCATGGGAGAATAAATTTCCATTTAATTGACATAATTGCACACAACTCTTGCAAATGAAAATATAAATACTTATTAAAACGGTACCTGGAGGTTCACTGCATGAGTCGGTAGCAGAGACAACCTTTTTCACAAGTTGCTTATATTACTATATGAAGGTTTACCCATCTAAAATCATGAGAACCTTCTGCTCGACTTTATATATTCAAAATGTTTTCTGGGAAATTTTAGGTGATGTAGAAAGTAATTGCTGAGATTTAAAAAAACGAAACAAAACAAAAAAAAATTCCTATGAACCCACTTTTACTGTTTTTGTGTTGTTTTTTTTAACATATTGAAATGTGTGGCCATGTATGGATCACAGTATTTCAGGAAGTATTAAGGATAACATTTTCTTGTCATGCCATTGATGCAGAATCTGCAGAATTTGAAAAGTTAATCAAATAATCTGTAAATACGAGTGAGTTAAGTGGATAAAAGCTATCAATTCTAGATCATGGTAGATCATGTATTGAGATAAAGTGACTTTTTAATGTCTTTGTGAGACAGAATATCAACGTAAGACTGTCTTTAGTGACTTCAGTGTCTGACAGGTCAAACCAATTCACGTAATGCGTGGAAAAAAATACTGTAAATTCGTCATTGCTATAAAACAGTTCGGCACTGATTCGCAGCATTCCAATGGTGTTGCAAAATCCCCATTGTCTCGCAGCACAGAGGTGTGTTGTCATGTCTTTAAGCTTGTAGCTCACATCCAGCCAAGTGTCTCATTTTCAGGGAAAAACTGCAGATAAATGCTACAAAGCATTCTAACCTGAACAGGATAAATCTGGACAAAATCCGCCCCCCACCCCTTCATCTCACAGTGTTGTCTGTGTGTTTTTATGTTGTTGACTGTTGTGTCATTTGCATTGTCATGTGTACTATCACAGAGTGGCTATGGACATGTGTGCTTTCATATGGAAGTTGACCCCTGACCTAAATCTCAAAGCTCTGCAGAGTAAGTAGACTAGAGGAAGTCATGTGACGGTGGTCCTCTGTGGGTTGGAGCCGGCTGTGCGTTATGATATAGGCTGCGAGAGGCACTCATTCCTTCCGCCGACGGTACCAGCACGACCGAGGCAGCACCTTGCATGCCACCTTTTTCCTGCTTATTGTTTAACCATGTGCACGTACGCCATAAATAGTTCTGGTATAAGTCAGAGCGCAGGCTCATCTGTCATCTGTGGTCCTGTATCACCCCACCTACAGCCAGTCTTCTCCTGAAACCCTTCTGTAGATTTCTTGTGATGCTCATAGGACTGTTGTTTTCATAGTGTGACATGTTTTGTGATTTTTCAATATGTGTTACACACTAGAGATAAAAACAGGCCATTTGATGCAACATTGTTCATGTTGTAATATATTGATCAGGTTTCTCACATGCAAAAAACTTACTGTACTTTGCATCGCAAATTAAACTATTCTAGCTTTGAGCACACGTTTATCTCTGTTAACTATGCCGTGACTGTCTAAGCAGCACCTGGCTGTTATCCAGGTGGAGCCTTGAGAAAGGGGTCTTTGTTTTTGACTGTTTGCAGCTGTAGAGTTGAAGACGGGGAGGATTTATAGTGGGTGGATCATGACGCTGAACATAATCGTGCATTCAAAAAAAAAAAGAGCTAGTTTTTACTGCATCAATTCAATACAAAATGTATTTAAATGATACCATTCTTTTTAATTAACCACTAGAATAACTGTAATTGTCGCGCTTCATCCTTTCTATAGCTTGAGCATGGAGATCGAATTGAAGTGGTGCTTGATGTAGAGCTTTGATTCCCTATCTTGTCAAGTACTTTGT